TTACAACCCCGATTTCTCCGTGCTTCGTCCAACAAATATAGTTTGGCATGAAACCCGACTTCAACAAGTGTAAATGAAGACTCCTTGAGCTAGCATATTCCTTCAAATTCTTACATATGGCACATGGGCACCACATGAAACCATCGCGTTTGTTTGCCTCGGCCACACGTAAGAAAGAATGCACGCCCTCAATGAACTCTTGGGAGCGGCGATCAGCATTGTACATCCAATGCCGACTCATGTGCATTACATAGCATACATACCATATTAAAACCTAGAACATAATTAGTTAATTATACGACATGCATGCCAGAACACAAGGTATTAATTTATGAAAGTCTCGCTACAATGTAGACAATCCCAACTACCACTAAAAAAACTAAAGCTAAAATGCACTTCAGCGGCATAAGGATTTCGCGACCAATCCCAACTAAAACAGACAGATCATGCGTTTGTTCAACATCTATGGGCTTCTTCCGCAGGATCACTGCCTCATCAGCCGCCATAGCCACCTGTGCAAGAGAGTTTTGCACATGTTCAACATACTCTTCTTTCTAGTACCAGCCTGAACATCCAGTGCCATCCCACTTAAATTAAAACAAAAAATTAGAACTTTAATCACAATCATCATGAAAATAAGTATAAATTAACCATAATCATCAAATGCGACAAAATAACTCACATTGCGATCCGGACACTTGTAGAAGATACGGCCCTTGTTTGGACACTCCTTCCTCACCTGGTACTCGATCACAATCTTCTCCTCACACTTGCCGTATGCAATGAGAGGGAGGTCCAGCCTCAGTCACTTTGGAACTCAATGAGAGGCCGAGGACCCGGAAGCAGTTGCCATCTACTTTCTATACTCATTTTTAATATAATATAAATTTCTCATTTTATAAACAAATAAAATTAAAAAAAAATCTAAAATTCTCTATATCTCTAAACCATGAAGTGTGCTATGCATGCTAGAAATAAAAGCTGAATACTAGTTTTGAATAACTACTTTAACCTTCATCCAAATATGCAAACTTTAAAGTGATTTTGAGCTTAAATGGCTTACAAATAAAAAAATTCACCATAAAAAACCACATATATCTAGTCCACAAAATGAGATATGCTACTAATGAAACATGAGAGTATAAAGTTGGTAACCTTTAGAACCGAAGAATCGATGGAGGAATCAAAGAAATCTTGTGATGACCGGTGATGAGGAGAAAGAGAGGCCGGCGATGAAGCAAAAACACTGAGCTCGAAGTGGCTAGGACTCGGGGAGGAAGAAGGGCTATATAGGAGGGGACCTTTAGTCCCAGTTGGAGATAGAAACCAGGACTAAAGGTCCCTTTCTAGTCCCGGACAGAGCCTCCAGCCGGGACTAGACTTTTACTCCCGGTTGGAGAGACGAACCGGGAGTAAAAGTTAACCTTTAGTCTCGGTTTGTAGCTCTAACCGAAACTAAAGGTCCCCTGCAGTAAAAGCCTGCCGCAGTAGCCGTTGGGCAGGGACCTTTAGTCCCGGTTGGAGCTACAAACCGGGACTAAAGGTCTCTCTAGTCCCGGGCACGAAAAATATCAGGACTAAAGCCAAATTTTGAGCTAGATCAAAGGTCGTTTCTCTACTAGTGGGATGAGGCTTGGCAGTGCCCCTAACACGACCTCCATTGATCTTCTTAGCGCAAGGATCAAAGCTTGCCGGTATGTGTGTGTTTGTGCATAGTGAGCAGTGAGCAGTGCCGGTCCTAGGATTTTAAGGGCCCTTTGACGATCTCGTCGCAACGGCCCCTCTTGACCATATATAAAATCTTATAATATATAGGCACTAATTTTACTTGCAAAATGAAAGCAAATTCAATAACATATTTTTAATTTAACATGTCTGATAATTATCGAGGAACAATGTAGATTAAGCAATATATTTGTAGATTTATGATAATTATCGAGGAACAATGTAGATTAAAAAGCAATATATTCGTTTTCTTTTCTCACCCATGACAAATGTTTCTTAGGTAACATTCTAAAATTCTAACACTTAAATTAGAAGAAAAATATGACTATATGGGTATAAAGTACTATAAGTCTGGAATACTATACAAATAATTAATTTGGATTAAAAATAAAAAGGAAAAAATACCTTCGGCCTAAACAACTGATGGGTGATCGCAATTCGTAAGAAGCCAAGAATCAAGATGTCGTCGTCGTAGAGCCCTGCCTGGTCGCCGTCCTCGTGCGTCGTGTCCGTGTCTCCAGTAGTCTAGTTCTTCGCGGCAGCGCGGCTCGCTAGCTCCGCGTGTGTAAGGTGCACGTCATGAACTACTAAGAATTTTGATGAGTAGGATAATAACCATTTTAGGAGAAGAGATACTTGCAAAGAAATACAGAATCAGAATTAGGTAAGCGTTTCTTCAAATTGAACTTGTGCATTCAGTAATACCTAGGAATATTGTTCTCAAGTGCATGTTCTTCATGACTTGAAGGGGCATTGATGCACCAGAGCTTAAAATGGCTAGTGGGAAGGAATCGAGGAATGCATTAGTGAAGCTAATTGGAGGGGAAAGGGTCACAATTTATGTGTATGGACAGGGCCAGTTTGGGCGTTATGTGGGTGACATATATTGTGATAATGTGTTCATCCAGGTGAAACATGAACTATGTTCACATAACCTATGGTTTTACGGCTTCAATTATGATGTGATCAATGTGTGTCTGGACTCTGGAGTCTTTCAGGAGCAAATGCTAAAGAGTGGTCATGTATGGCATTTCAAGACTTATGATAAGCGCCCAGAGTTTGCGCAGGTAAGAAATTCCATTGTACCTGAAATGCATTTATGAAACATCCCAAATTGTACTCTGAGAAAGCCTAGAGTATTCTTTTCGACGTGAACATCCTTGAGCTATGTCATTTGTCATTTAATTTTAAAGGCACATGTGTGATATGAACTATAAGCTATTGCAGTTTATGTGCAAAATTCCGAATTTGCTGACCCTAGAAGTTTTTTTACTAGCACTATGATATTTTGCAGTGGGAGAGAGAGGCAAGAGCTGCATGTTGAGGACTTTTTGCATCAGAGAACCCTGAGAAACCATGGGACTAGAGAAGAGACCAACGAAACGCGAACATACCAGTCTACTGATTGGAACTGAACCATGAGTTTACAACTTTGTACAATTGCTACACATGAATGCATATCAAAAACCGAAAGCAAGAGTGTATTGTACATGTATGTGGAAGATAAAGTATTGTGAATTAGTATCGTGCGTTCAATATTGGAACTCTTGTGTTCTTATCCCTGTTATGAACATTACTACAAAAAGAATTTTAGGAGACATGTCCCCTGATTAATAGAGGCATGCATTTTTGGGAGGAACCTCTATAACTGTTCAGGCAGGTCTCAAGAAAATGCATGCCTCCTTTAATCATTTACACAACCGAAGCATATGCAATAGAGAGCTAGAGGTATATGATTCATTGGCAAAGACCTTTACGAGGTACGGGTCTGCAAATTGTTCAAACATGTGAAGGTTGCCACATGATAGCAGATGCAACTTCAAGCCCTAGAGCATGCATCATACGACGTTGATTTGTCACACATGCCCTTGAAATGATGGGGCATGGTGTTGGACCCCTCCAAACAGCGGTCTGGAACCTTCGCTCTGTAGTGGTAGGGGTAGAATATTTCATCAAATGGATTGATGCCAAAGCATTGTTAACTATCACCTCAACATCAATTAAAAAAGTAGTTCACGCAACAAGTTATATGCCATTTTAGTTCCCTAGAGCACTAACAGTTGACAAAGGTACTCAGTTGACACTTGAGTCTTCATAGATATCAGAGTGTTGAAATATAAGTGAATTGTCCACTCTTTTCAATTAGATTGAACTTTTGGATTGTGCCGGTCCTCAATGGATTGAGAATGTAATGGCCATGAAAATTTTAAAAAATTGAAAAATAGCAAAAGTGGTTTTTTATCTACATGACCCTCCCCTGTCGACTACATGAGCCTCAAGTACCCTCATCATGGCCTAAATTGACCCCCCAGTAGGTGTGGACTGGGTCAACCGATCAACGGAGGAAACGACCTGGGGGTGCCTCATTTTACTTAGCGAACAAGGCATGCAAGATGTAGATAAAAACAATGAATAATCTTATCTGACTAAATTTCCTTGTCATCGACATCTATATCCGATCATGGGAACTGATTTGTAACCCTACGCTCCCGAACTATATAAAGACTGGTAGAGAGCGCGGTAACATGAACACACAACACCAATGCCCCTGCAAACCCATGCACGCGGCACACAAGCAACTTAATAAAGCTTTCATCATAGACTGGGTGTAGGGTACTCTGTATCTAAACCAGTATACACTCGTGTGTTGTGTGTAACCCATCTGACCTATGGCGTGTGATTTATTGGATTAATCGTCAGAGGTCAAAAACACTGACACCCCTAAAGCTCTTTTGCTCATTGCCATGCATATAAATTAGATAGTTCTCCATAATTACACATAGACACCCACAGTTTGTGTGAAATAACTAGTATGGTTCGAAAAGAAAAAAACTGAATAGAGCGATATGATGTTTCCTTTTTTGGTGCTAACAACTGCCCCAATTTTTGGGATGTTATGCAAATAAAATGAATAGAGAAGAAACCATCCGTTTGCATTACCAAGTGTTTACTTGAACAAAAAATGTAGATTTGGGAGAGGAACATTATTTCTTAAGAGCACACCACTACCAAGGAGTGATGTATACAATACTATTACCCTATAGTTTCAATTCAACATATTGCTCATACATAACTTTATTTATTGCTAAGTTGAGTACTAGTCATAGGCATGCTGGTGTAGGTAACAACACCAAGCGGATCCAAAGGACATGATTGCTATGTTAACCATTAAGCAGTGCCTTTTGCAAGCAAAGTATATGGAACCATTACATCAGACATTGTTGAAGATACTAGAAAGTGCTTGTATATGAAGATACTAAAAGTTGGACATCAAGCTACTCAGATTTCCAGGACGATAGTGGAGGAGTCTCAGAATATTTCCAGGTGTTGCCCATCTGAAGATATCGGTCTCCCTGGACATCACTAGCAGCAGCATATGACTCGAGTTCGTTCATTTCCTCTGGTGTGAGCTTCACAGATAATGCTCCAATATTCTGGTTGAAATTTTCGACTTTTGTTGTGCCAGGTATGGGGCAAACATCGTTGCCTTGATGGCAAACCCAAGTTAATGCAAGTTGTGATGGCATACATCCTTTTCTTGTCGTCATTGAATTAACTCGCTCAAATATTTGGGCATTCTTGTCAAGATTCTCCGGTTGAAATCTTGGGAAAATCTGTACAACAATGAAATTCTCAATGAAAAGATGCAACTCACCATGCATATTACTATTATTACTAATTAGAGGCCTACAACGAATCCTCCAACAGAAAGATTTGGCCATCACCATATAAGACTCTAATCACTATCGATAATAAGAGCAATAAGATCTACTTTGTTTCCTAAACAAAATTGCCCCATTTGCCATTTAACCCTTAAAAATCTATGTCTGAATCACACACATTGTACCTCCATTACGAGAAATCTAAAGTAAACACCTAAACTTACATCTAAATTACCCACCCTACCATTATGATTGATAATCTATATAACCCTTAAATTCCACCAAAATTACTCCACTTGTAATTGTTAAAAGTAATCCGAAATGTCTCCCCAAGCACTAGTAGAGAACAGACCTTTGATCCTCGGCCAAAATGGGCTCTAGTCCCGGCATTTTTTGCGCCCGGGACTAGAGATACCTTTAGTCCCGGTTGGTGGCTCCAACCGGGACTAAAGGTCCCTGCCCAACGGCTACTGTGCCAGGCAGAGGTGGTAGGGACCTTTAGTCCCAGTTGGAGCCACCAACAGAGACTAAAGGTATACTTTTACTCCCGGTTGGTGGCTCCAACCGGGAGTAAAGGTCTACCCCCGGGCCGTGGCTGCGCCCGGGGTTGGAAAGTTACCTTTAGTCCCGGTTGGAGCCACCAACCGGGACTAAAGGTCCCCCATTTATATCCTGGCCATCTCCTTCTTCCTCCCTGAACCCGAGCTTAGCACATTTTGAAGCTCACTGCACTAGTGTTCTTGCTTCCTCCCTCCCTCCATTGTTCCTCCATCCATTCTTCGATTCCTCCATCGATTTCTTCGATTCCTCTATTGATTCTTCAGTTGTAAAGGTTACCAATCTCATACTCTCATTTTTCACAATTGTCTTATCTCATTTTGTTCACTATATATATATATATATCGTTCTTTATTGTGGTTTTTTACATTTGTAAGCAATTTGAGCTCAAAATCACTTCAAGCTTGCATATTTACATGAAAGAAGGTTAAAGTAGCTAGTTGAACTTGCGGACCGTGTTCATCTCGGCAAGCATGTTCTCTGCCGAGCGGTAACGGACGTCAAGGAGGAGCTTTGATTCTACGAGGCAGAGCGACAACGGTCGTGGAAGACCGTGTTCCCTTTCTCGTAGAATCGGAGCTCTTCCTTGACCAAGTACGGTGCTATCCGGTGGAGAAATGCTCGCCGAGATGATCACGTAAGCAAGGTCAACTAGTACGGATGGTTATTTATTAAAACATGTTTTTGAGATATAGATAATTTTATAGTTTCTTAATTTTATTTGTTTATAAAATAAGAAATTTATAGTGTATTAAAAAGTAGAGGCATCTCATGGGTTTCCAAAGCGACTTAGGCCGGGCCTCCCTCTCATTCCATGTGGAAAGTGTCGTGATGAGACAAAGATTGTGATGGAGTACCTAGTGAAGAAGGAGGGTCCCAACAAGGATCGTATCTTCTACAAGTGTCCGGATCGCAATGTGAGTTATTTTATCGTATTTAATGATTATGGTTAGTTTATACCTATTTTCATGATGGTTGTGATTAAAGTTCTAATTTTTTGTTTTAATTTCAGTGGGATGGCAGTGGACGATGTTCAGGCTTCTACTGGGAGGAAGAGTATGTTGAACTCGTGCAAAAATATCTTGCACAATAGGCAGATACGGCGGCTAATGAGGTAGTGATCCAGCCGAAGAAGCCTAAAGATGTTGCACAATCGTTGGATTTGTCTGTTTTAGTTAAGATTGGTCGCAAAATCCTTGTGCTCCTGAAATGTATTTTAGCTTTAGTTCTTTTAGTGATAGTTGGGTACAAAGACGAACCATTCGTCCTTGCCAAGGATGTGAATCAGGTGTTCTATGTCAATGATATGTCTACCAACCCAAAAAGAGAGAAAAACGATAATGACTCAACCAAAGAGCCAAAGCGCCACATAGTTCTTTCAGGGAAAAGAGTCATCGTGGGAATTAAGGACAAGTCGGACATGTCAGAAGATTATGAAAAGGATGACTGAATTCCGCCCTTCAAAGTGAACAAAGACCCTAGCATCTTGGTAAATGAAGAGGACACACCATGGTTACGACGCGATCATAACCAAGGGACATACGTAAAGAAGAAGTTCACTGCTGTGCCCACTTGATAATATAGTGATTTAATGTAGTGTGTGTTTGAGATATTATGTAATAATTGTGAATTCAGATGTTTATTATGTCATGTTTCAAATTAAATCAATGTTTGATTTGTTGGTGGGATTTCTCTCTCAAAAAGGTAAATTAGGATATCGAGTGATGAAAAATTAAAATATTAACGTTAAAATGATGTGAAAACAAATTTTCTGTCCAAAACCAATAGTTTTAATAATTTTAATTAAACACTACATTTTTGCATTAACGAAATAATAAATATTAGTTACATTATGTTTTATAATTGTAACAAAAAATAAAAAAAGTTAGGTTATAGATTTTTCCTATGTGCAATAAAGAAAAAGAAAATCCATATTTTTAACAAAATAATTTTATGCATTTTATTTAAGTTACTATGTATTTAACAAGACTATTGCATTTCTATTAAATAAATTTGCTTAAAACACGCGGGAAACGAAACTGTAGCCCACCTTTAGTCCCGGGTTGGAAGCCCACCCGGGAGTAAAGGTGGGCTGCAGCTTCAGGGTTCACTAAAAATCTTACTCCGGTCGTGTTACCAACCGGGAGTAACTCCAGTTGGTAACACGCACCGGGAGTAAAGGACCTTTACTCCCGGTGGGGGGATGGCACCGGGAGTAAAGGGGCGTGGCATATATATAACACTGCCATCTTCTTCCTTACGTTCTTCGCCGATTCCTCTCCCCCTGCGCCCACGCCACTCGGTCCGCCACACCAAGGACGCCGCCGCCACCCCGCCCGACGTCGGTCGTCGCCACCGCCTCACGCGAGTCCGTGGTCCCCACGCCACCCCGCGCACCGACGACCTCGCGGCGCCACTGCTGCCTGGCCACCCCCGCCAGACGCGCGGCCACACCGGTACCGTACGTACCCTGGCCACGTTGACACGGCGCGACGACGAGGCCGCCAACGCGCGCTCGCGGCTTCCTCTCCTCCATTCCCAAGGTACGCTGCTTGCTCCGTTCCATCTCCAGACTACACCGTGACCAACAGATCGATCATGATGAGGAGCACGCTGTGCTAGCTTGCTCGATCTCGGATCCGCCGATTAAACATTTGATCAAACTGCAGTTGATCATTGAAGATTTCACTTCAATGAACATAAAAAACAGTGATGTCCATCATAAAAAGAAAGATCTTATAGGTTTGGTCGAAATAGTTAGCACTTCACTAACTTTCTTGTATTTTGTTTATGGTTAATAAAGTGCTGGGAAGCAATGCTCCATGATTTCAGTTAAAAAAAACTATGATAATTTTGACCAAGTTCATATAGAGAAAAATATCATCACTTATCACACTAAATAGATTATACTGTGAAATTATATTACATGATAATAAACTGAATGATACTAATTTGATATCATAAATAGCAAAGTATTTTTTTATAAATTTGATCAATCTTAAAACAATTTAATTTTGACTAAACAATATAAGGTACTTTTTAGCCAATGGGGTACATTATTGCATATATGTTAGTTTATCATTATTGCGTTTCTATGTATATGGCGGAGCACCGCCGCCCTCATTCGCCCTAGGGTTTATACGGCGGAGCACCGCCACCCTCGTTCACCCTAGGGTTTATACGGTGGAGCACCGCCGCCCTCGTTCGCCCTAGGGTTTAGGGTTTATACGGCGGAGCACCGCCGCCCTCGTTCGCCCTAGGGTTTAGGGTTTATACGGCGGAGCACCGCCGCCCTCGTTCGATCATTTTTGGCGTGTTGTTGTGAACCTCTTTGAGGGTTCCAATCATTGTAAACATTATTTAGAGCTGTTTACTCGACGAGTCAGGATGCAGTGCGATTTTGTTGTCACTTTGGTTTGCAGCAACGCCCCCCTTTTCTTTTAGGCGAGGCTCATCGTTTATTGTTCTCAAAAACTTGACGCGCAATGATGCCCCCTTTCTTTCAGGCGAGGCTCGCTATTTTCTGTTTAATAAAACCTAATGCGTAGCGACACCCCCCTTTTATTTCAAGCGGGACCGCCGCCAAAACCTACTCGCTTCCTAATTCTTCTTATCATACAAACCAACCTTCACCCATCAAAACCTACTCGTTTAGGGTTTAGGGTTTATACAGCGGAGCACGGCCGCCCTAGAATTGCGTCCGTGACCGAGGGGCAAGATTTAATAATGCATATTGTTCGTAGATTTTACGCATGTAAGCAAAGATTTAACGTACTATATATTGGTTTTGTTTTTTGAAGCTAGATGGCCGACCCGAGAAACATGGATGAGGAGGAGTTGATGATGAATTTGATCAACACCGGCACTCAAGTTGCCGGCGATGATGGTGCTAAAATAACGTGCAAGAGGATGCGGATGACGGGTGTCGATTTCTTAGCTCTTGAACAAAATGAGCAACAACATATTGGCCAAGTATATATTTTTTATTATTAGCTATATAATTATCATATGTCTTATGTGTGCTCATGACATTAAAAATAATGTTTATGTTTTGTAGCCCTCTAGATCGACATCAACAACTACAACGAAGAGTAAAAATGTTCGAGGTCCCAAAAAGCCATTGGAGGGCCGCTTCATCATCTCGGAGTTCAATGTGGATACAGGCGAACCGGGGGGGCCAAATAAAATGAAATTCGTGCACCACTGTGGTTACCTTGTACGAGACCGGCTCCCGATCAGTACTCGCGAATGGAAGAAGAAGACCAATGCTCCTCATATCAGTTTTGTCTCCGATCATGATAAGACGTTAATTTGGAAAGATGTCTTGGTACATTTCACGCTCCAAACAGATGGTTATGATGATATAATAGATGGTGATGAATTGAAGGAGCGAGTTAGGGATTGGGCAATGAAGAAGATGGCCACCCAGTTTCAGACTTGGAAGAAACACCTATACACGACGTATGTCAAGAAGAACATAGCACCAGATTTTACTGTCCCTGGCCCGATCTCAAAGCAGAGGCCCTATTGGGATGAGTTTGTACAGTACAAGACATCGGAAGACGGTGTGAGTCGGGTGATAAAGAACCAACGTAATGCCCAACAGAAGACATACCACCATAACTTGGGATCAGGTGGCTACCCGACTGCCATTAAGAAGTGGAACAAAATGGAAGCAGACCTTCTTGCCAAGGGTATCACACCGAATCGCTTTCGAGTGGGGGAGAGCGTGCAAAGAATTGGTTTTTTCGCTCATGGGGAACACTAGACCAGAGAGAGCGTAGGTAAAGCGTTTATGGTGCAAGACGCAAGAAGCAGCAAAGATTGTTTTATGCTCGAGAGCTACAGCTAGTGGTGCGTTCAGGCCCAACAGAGAGAAGGATGAGCTAACATACGCCATCGGGACTATTGAACATGGTGGCCGAACTAGAGGCAAAGGAAGTGTCTCGTGGGAGCATGGATTCCCTCAGGACAGACCTTCCTACAGAAGCCGCTAGAGAAAGAAGGAAGAAGAGGCACAGCGGCTCCAGAGGTTGGAGGAAGCGGTGCGTGAAGCACAGGAGCGGGAAAAAAAACCTTGAAGCGAGAATGCAGGAGGAAATCAGAAGGCAAGTGCAAATAGCAGTGAGTGCAAGCAAGCAGGCATCAGAGCCAGGAATCAACATTAGCCAATCTGTTCAATTGAAAAGCAACTATGCTTCCACGGAGATACCAAATCAAGGGGACACAGGACTGCGCTTCCCTGTGGATGACGTCACTGAACCTTGTACATCGTGTGAGCTACACATTCCGAAGGGGAATTCCACAATCAAGGTGGCTATCGGTCTTGTTAATCCTATCGACCGAACCAAGACACCAAGGATTCATGGGAATATAATCCAAGAAGGATATGCTACCATCTCAGGAGATAAAGCTGAAAAAGGTTTTAGTGATTTGCCTCTTAACATTCCTGGAGGTGATGGCGAGAAGACTCTAGGAGAAGCAGAGAAGACATTCATTCTATGGCGCAAGTGCTACATCATCATTCCTAGGATGTCGGCTCCACCTCCTCCTGAACTACCTCACCATAGGTGCGGATGAAAACACTACATCATTAATTTATATTGGCTTAAATAATTAACAATCTACTCATAATAATATGTCATTCCTTTTTTTTAGCAGATCCTCCCCCAAACTAAATCCAATTGTTCAATCGCCAGATCATCATAGTGCTCAGTACGATGACATTGTGTTGGAAGGCGAGGCTGCATCCACACCATCTCCAAGGACGTCTCCAACGCCGTAGCCGCCACCTCCAAGGAGGTCTCCAACGCTGCTGCCACCACCTCCAAGGAGGTCTCCAACGCCTCCCCCGCCCCAGCCTACCAAGAAGCCAAGTGCTAGCAAGAGGCCAGCCCCACAAACGAAGAACCAGTCCCCGCCGGCAAAGAAAGCCACCGTGAAACCAAGGGCTATTCCCAAAATAATATCTGAAGAGAAGGAAGAAGGAACTGATGCATATAAAAAAGATTTGTCCAGATTCTATGACAAAATTAAAAAGAATCAAGAAGCAAGAAGAAACCCGAAGAAACCGTACTTCTTCGTAGCTCCAGATATTCTAAGAAAAAAGGTGGCTTCTTACCAGCAACAACAGCGGGAATCTCGTAAGCCGTCCAAATCAACGTTAACGGACTATGACCGCACTCTCACCAAGTCAATTGAGGCGGCACAGAAAAAGAAGCAGGCAGGGAAAGGAGTTGCCCAACTCGGACAACAATCGCACCAATTAGTCCCCCCGCTAGTTGTTGGTAATGAATATGGTTCGAATTTAGGATTAATGCATCAGGCAAACATACCTCCGGATGTCGATTTGGATCACCTTGGTGAATTTATTGATGAGACTGGTCTTGACCTTTACCAGATGTTTGGTGATGGAAACATTGAGAGTGCGGCGGAGGTTGATATTTGGAAGAAAAAATTTGTACTAGGTCAGAGTCTATACAACCCTCAAGCCTTATCTGATCTGGGGACGCAAATGTACCTGATAAACAAGTGGTACATGCAGGCGTCTACCGGTGGAGACTGCTGCGTTGGTGTCAGAATTAGAGACGAACATTGGTTCCGTGGCGATGATGTTATGTATGTTGACTTTGCAAAATTTCATCAACTATGCCACCTGACCTCTCTAGACAAAGTTATCATTAGCTGCTATTGCCTGTAAGTAATAATTCTTTTGATCTATTATTAAACTCATCATATGTGTGTATATGCATATAAATTATCCTAACAAGTACTATATATATGCAGATTTACAATGACAGAGCTCAGAAAGGTAGGTTGCAATGAAATTGGTTTTGTTGATCCCCATATAGTATTCAAAGACCCAGTTACTCCAAAGACTAATTGGAAGTCTGAGACAGAGAGTAACCTCATGAACTTCTTAGTGAACCAACGCCACAAGAAGGATATACTCTTTCCCTACAACTTTAAGTGAGTGTTAATAATGTCGATCATCCTTAATGGCTCATATGTTGATTCTAGTTAATTAATGAGTGTTATGCGTTATATCCTATAAACACATGCAACAATCACTAGATATTGATGGACATCGATCTGGTGAAAAGTCACTTGATAATCTATGACTCGATGAGAAAACCACAATAAGACTATCAAGATATGATAGATATTATCCAGAGGTAATTTCGGTATCTCTAGCAACTATATATACACACAAACATGATGATTAACTATATCTGATGACGTGGCAAATTTTTTATTGAGCAGTGTTTGGAAAACCTTTATTGAGAAGCAACACATGGGAAAATGCAAAGCGCCACTGAATGTAATCCCTTTGAAAATAAGTCCCCTAAATCGCATCATCTTTATTAATTAAACATATAGCTTTCACCGGATCACTAGATTGGATGACAAATCTTTTTCTCGTAAAGTGGTGTCTGAGGCAGGAACAGGGGAACAACTACTGTGGTTACTATGTTTGCAAGTTTATCAAGGTGGTCTCCCAAAGAACTCCTACAGAGAGACTCAAAGTACATTAAAAATACACTATATATTCATTTAATTATTATTATTGATTGTGTTACTATGTCTTTATATATATATATGTACATATATTAATTTATTTTCCTTTAATTCAAACCTGTAGGCTCGATGGTTAGAGGAAAAGGTCACACGGCAAGACCAAATCAAAGCAATTCAAGAGTCTATAGCCGGATTTTTTAATGAGCAGGTCATCGATTCCAAGGGCGAGTTTTACTTCGACCCAACACTGCCATGAAAGCCAAGCTAGAGGATGAGAGGAAACTTGTTATATATCACAACAAGTGTAATGCAATCTTTTGTAATATATGCACATGAAATAATATAATATAAAATACACATATGCATATATATATATACTTGAATTGTGTGATTTAATACGTTCATTGTGCTTGAACCGAAACATACTATACGCGCATATAAATGTATAATTAGCAACGTACAATACGACTACGAAAACCTATTTTGAAAAGAAAACAAAAAAATGAAAAGAAAAGAAAAAAGAAAAAAAACCTTTAGTCCCGGTTCGTATTACCAACCGGGACTAAAGGTGCCGGCCATCGTGGCATGTCAGGAGGCACCTTTAGTCCCGGTTGGTGTTACCCACCGGGACTAAAGGTCCTCCTTTAGTCCCGGTTCCTGACCCGGGACTAAAGGACCCCCCTTTAATCCCGGATGCTCGCTCCCGGGTGGAGAACCGGGACTAGAGGGGGTTCCCCACCGGGAGTAAAGCTCTGTTCTCTACCAGTGAAGATACATCTAAGCTACCAAGATATACTATTATGAAGAAAAAAATTCAATGACTACAGTTGTAGCTATATATGTTTCTAAGTTACTTACTTCGGTCATTATTCTTACATAGAAAAACTTAATAAAAGATAAGCATACATGTGTGATCGTACAAATCAAAAGATATGTCAAAATTACCATTAAAATTACCAAGTGCTATGCGATTTATAAATCAAAAGATGAATAAATTAGTCTGGAGATTATGGTTAGTTAGCTTGCAATCAGAAATTCGGAATACAAGGAAGTTTCCAACTCGAATCAGCCTGAAAAGGAGAATTTATAAGCAAAGTTGTATGTAGGTAGCAGTAATACGACGTCACCTTCCGGGCATCCTGTTCTGATAGCGAGTCAATCAGCTTTGCCCCACCAGACAAGAATCCTCTCCCTAGTGGACTGTAAGCCACTATCCCGATTCCAAGTTCTCTGATGACATGATCAGGGGTAATAACGTCAGAAATAAATCAGGAAAACAAGCTTACTACTGGCTAGTGGCGGAGCTACAGCAAATTTGAGGGGATGTGTTTGCCTTTGTGGGTGCTAGGGTTTGCAATGTGTGGGTATATATATGGTTGAAATTTAGGTCTTATCACTGTTTTTCAATTTTTGGCGGGGGCGGCGGCACCCACTAATTTTCACTGTAGCTCCGCCCATGCTGCTAGCTATGTCACAATCTCACTGGTGATTAATTCAAGTATTATGCTAGTAAAATGAGCACGGAATTAAATAAAATAAAATACCTGCAAGTAGGGATTATATCTCCTTCCACATCTCTAGACCATATTGACCACTCCAGCTGCACGGCGGTGATTGGATGAACCGCGTGAGCTCTTCTGATTGTGGAAGCAGAGGCTTCAGATAAACCTATGTATTTTATCTTCCCTTCTTCCACTAGCTTCTTGAGCTCAGAAATCTAGCAACAACGCATTCAAAAACTAAGTTTAGTATTCTCTTGTTAGAACGAACGAATGACAGGAGCAGGAGGACAGTACACACCGTGACTTCAATGGGTACCCTGGTGTCGATGCGGTGTTGGTAGTAGAGATCGATGCAGTCGACGCCGAGCCGCCGGAGGCTGCCCTCGCACGCCGCCCGCACGTACGCCGGGTCGCCGTGGACCTCCTGCTTGCCGTCGACGTACAAGATGACGAATTTGGTGGCCAGCTGCACCTTCTCCCTGATAACACCACCGCCGGCGGTGTCCTTCAGCTGCAGCGCCTTGCCCAGGAGGAGCTCGTTGGTGTGCGGGCCGTAGAAGTCGGAGGTGTCGAGGAAGGTGACGCCGGCGGCGATGGGGTGGTGGATGAGCCTCACCATGTCCGGCTCCGGCTTGGGCGGGCCGTACGCGAAGGACATGCCCATGCAGCCCAGGCCCAGCGCCGAGACCTCGAGCCCCTGCGACCCCAGCTTCATGCGCGGCACCACCACCCGCGACGACACTACCGCAGCAGCAGCAGCAGCAGCCATGGCGATCGATAGAGATGGTATGGTTCTCCTTCTGCTCTCTCTACTGCTTCAGCTGCTAGCTGCTTCAGAATGTTCAGTGACACGAGCTTGTTCGTCCCAGAATTTATACTAGTGTGTTGGGATCGAGTAGCCTGAACCTGAACCTGAAGTGGCTGTAGTCAAGGTCGGTGTGCGTCACTCACAGTAGTGTCGCTGCTGGGCTGACTACGTCACTGTCTACGTGGGATTGCATACACATGTAAGAGCTTACGTCACAGACGACCTGTTGGAGAAGAATGGATGATGGATTCCTCTTCCTGCTCATGGAGCCAGCGCTAGCTAGCTCGACGTGTGAGTGTGACAGCACCGTCTCCCAGGCCCCAGCCACTCCTTTTCCTTCTCACGTCATTCTATTCTACTCGTCCTACAGTGAGAGTATTCGGCTTTTGCTTAGGGCTCGTTTGGTATGGCTCCGGCCCGTGAAAAAACAGCTTTGACTCTGGCTCGTATGGAAAATCAGCTTTTTCCGACTCTAGCTTATTTTGTACGAAAACGTTTGGCAAAATGGCTTCTCCTAGTGTAAAGAAGATGTGAAATGTCCAAAATACCCTTATATTTTTTTTATTTTTTCTTTTTTCTCTTCATTTTTCTTTCTTTTTTTTTTTTTCTTTCCATCTCCCTTCTTTTCTTCTCCTTATCCGAACGGCCTCACTCCATCCATCTCTCTCTCTGGCGGAGCAGGAGGCTGGCCGCGGAGCCGGCGGGGCGGAGCCGAAGGCCGGCGGGGCGGCGCAGGAGGCCGGCGGCGGGGCGGAGCAGGGAGTCCAGCTGCCCCAACCGTGCCTGCGCACCGCCGCGCCGCCAGCTGCCGCGACCGCGCCTGGCCCCATGGCCGCCGCCGCGTCGCGCCGTCGGCGGCAGCTGCGGCCCCGCATCGACGTCGTCCACTGCTCATCCTCCCGGGACAAAGATGGAAAATGAGTTGTTGGGACGAGGAGAAGCCGGTATGAGCCGCTATTTTTAGCTTCTCCCCGGTGGAGAAGTGTAGAGAGCGGGATTTTAGGAGCTTTCGTCGGCTTTCTCTCGTGAGCCGTTTTGGTTTTGTCCGTTTGGCACGGCTTCATCAAAAGCCGCTCGAGAAGCTGCTCGTGAAGCCGTGCCAAAGGGGCCCTTATACGTGGTAGTTGCAAGAGCAGGAAGGCAGTGCAATACTGTGACGTTGATTGCCACAGGGAGAAGAAAAGCAGAAGGTTTGCTGAGTTGCTCTGTCTGACTGGAGAAGCTGCGTGCTCTGCTTGGAAGGGCTCAAGAGGAAGTGAAGAAGAGGACGCTGGTGCTGTGCTGGGGAGGCACATGAGGCCGGGAATTGCGAGCATCCCGTGGATGGAGACGGCCATCGCGTCATGTGCTCCAGATTCGGCCAGGCCACTCCTCCCCACATTCATGGCTCCAAGCCTCCCTTTCATGGCTTCATGAGATACATAATAAGAGAAACGATTTGGATCTTGCTTTTTTCACAAGAGCGACGGATAATGTAACAGCCTGCAACAACAAAGTTCGTTACTGGCCGTACAGGTGGCCCGCAGGTCGACACGCAGACATGTGCCTGCGGTGAATTTGGCGTGGACGTGTCTCCTCGACGATTCTGAGCCGACCTGCTCGCTTCCCGGCAAATTCACCGCAGGTGGCCCGCCGCGCCGATCGCCCGGGTGCGCACGGCGGCACCTAAACTCCAATCCTCGTATCGTGTGGTATCCGATAGAGCAGAGAGAGATTGGGAGATGGGAGAGAGGTGCTTGCTCCTGGGAAGCTTGATTTGCGGAGGTTGGCTTGATTTGCGGAAGGAAAAAGCTAATGTCGGTCACACGTGTATCCCCAGCTCTTGAAACTCACTTGGTTTTGCTCGCACGAGAGCGTTCGGAGCCTTGGTGGCTCATGCGCAGGTCGACACGCATTTTCGTAACTTTTGCAAAAAGACCCTCTGGTTCTGTGATAATCAACCCATCTGTCAGGTCTAGTTTTCCAAAGAAAACCAAGCTCGTCATATGTGTGCCCAGGAAGTCCACACATACAACAATAGAATGGAAAATATCAAAAACAATGTTATTAGATAATGTATACATAGCTATATTAACACTTACATCAGAGTATCGCGGAACGGTAACTAATCTTCAGGCTCCATTCTTCTCCGGAACGGCTGACTGGGAGCTCCGTATGCCAAGCGCTTCTACTAGCCTTTTAGGAAATCCGCCATGTCCTCTTCAATCTTCTAAGCAACTTTGACTAGAGACTAGGATGTGGGGGAAATAGCAAGGGTGAGCACATGTCGTACTTAGCAAATATAACAAGGGGTTCATGAGGCTCAAAAAGGTTGACACTGGTTTACTACGATTAGCTTAGTGAGTCATAATTTTAAGCAATTGAGTAGCACTAAATTTATCATAAGCCCATATAAACACATGATCACGTAAACATGAATAATGAATAGCATAAACAATTAATTATCCATTAATAATCATCTATTTCGTAAAAGTTCCAAGGCCGCTCATGATCATGAGCACGGTTGTTATAACAGTTTTACACTCTGCAGAGGTTGTACACTTTCACCATAAGCCGTGATTTACCCTTTCGCCTGAGGCGGCCAACCTCTTAACCCACTACCAAGGAAGGTCGACAGGGTTCACTACGAAGTCTTTCAAAGGTTCGTCTAACAAGTTAGGGTCGCTAAAGATTCCCCATCAACCAGTAAGATCCCTCCCCAAAGGTGTGACTAACAAAAAGATAAAAAAACCAAAGTGCACTCTCTTGGCAGGCCGTGGGATCAAACCAATCGGAGCCCCTCTTGCACCTTTCAGTAACCACTAACAAGCTAGAAAAGGTCCTCATACTTAACTAAAGCCAGAGCCATATAGCACTCATGGTCGTACTGTAAGTCCCAGTTGACCACTTACAGGTAAGTCATTAAGGAGAGCAATCTAGAGCATCACAAAAACTATGCTCTAACCCCCTAGTTTCTTGTTGCTAAAAAGCATCTTTTAGTGTTTATTGTATATTCCATTAGTCAAGTTACAAGATCATGGTCTTTAATTGAGCACTAGAATCATACTACCCAATGCACAAACCCAAAGTGTCAAGGTACAAGTTCAAGTGCTAGGAAATTCTTGCAGGAAACAAGATAGACACATGCAGTATGAATTTAATGATTAAAAGTGAGTAGGCATCAAGGATGATCCTATGCTATACTTGCCTTAAACACTTGCTCAACTCTTACACAATTAGCTTTCGGTCATCACCTTCTGATCTTCAGCGCCCATAAACGGTTCTCGTCTATTCGTAGCAAGCAGCACACATAGGCAATCATACAAGCAACAAATAAAAGCAACTAAGAGCAGCAGAGCAAGAGCTTTAAAATAGCATGCTAAGAGAGAACTCGTTGCTACGATTGAGAAACGCCAATAACCGAACTTTCGTTAAAAAGAAATGTCTATCGAGAGTTTTATATTATAAAAGAAACAACTATGAGCTCGATTTATTTTAATTAAGAAAAACTATGTGAATAGTATTAATCACTACTATAGCGCAGGGATATAGGAACACCAACTTGTGTTACTATAGGTTGGAAAAAGTGTTACTAGCTCTCTTAGTAATACATATTTTTTTGTGTTCCAATTGGACATGTTACTATAGACTGGTTTATTGTAACACATTTACTTGTCTACAGAAATATTTGTCTAGTGTTACAATGATTTTTGCTGTAACACTTTTTTTGCTCTAGTAACACTTCACATTATGGTAGAATGCATAGTTTGTAACACATTTATTTAACTATCGGAACATTTGCCTAGTGTTACAGTGATTGTCTGCTGTAACACTTCTTTAGTTATAGTAACACTTCTACATTATGGTAGAGCACATTATGGAACAAAGAAACACATGGTTTGTAACACTTGTTTATATCTATTGTAACATACTACAAAGTTTTCCCCCTGATACAATGGCCTCAAAGTGTTGCAATAAGCCAAAAAGTGTTGCTACAGGTGACCTCTCTATTTCCACACTATATCTGTGGTTGCTATAGGTGGAACCCTCTATCGCCATGAAAATATTCTGGTTGCTAGAGGACCTCACTATTGCCACACAAACCATTGTGGTTGCTATAGGTGGAACCCTCTATTACCATGACAAATGTTTAGTTGCTAGAGGTGGCCTCTCTATTGCCACACTAAATATTGTGGTTGCTACAGGTAGAACCCTTCTATTGCCCCAACAAATGGTTGGTTGCTATAGGTGAAAGTCTCTATTGCCCTGCCCACTATTTCATTGGTATGAGATTTTTGCCACACCGTTTGTTTGTTGCTCTAGCATATATTGCAACGCCAAATAATTATGCCAATAGTCCATATTGCAATACTTTGTTTGGTAGCTTCAAACAATAATTGCACGCCGAACAATATACATATGATGAATGAAGCATTTAGACATCCATTAAACCAAAATGTGCCTTGTTTGTACAAATCATTAATGAAACCATCCAATGTCAAACTTAGTTGATAACACACACAACACATAAGGTATCCAACACAGATCACTAGCTAGTTTGAACACTTCAAAATGTAATGAGCTATGTAGCACTGCAGCAAAGGTTGCCTTGATGTTGATCATCCCATCAATTGTGCGCTCCACTCAAACTCCATCTTGCTCATGAAAAGAATCATTAACAATTGGTATATGCATCAAGTAAACTGAAATTGTATTATTTTTGGCATAGCAGCATGGAGTCAACAAAGTAAGCAATTTGGAATCTTAAACTAAAGACTAGCTAGTTTGCAAGTAAATTTGCATAATTATTCAAAAGTAAAATTTTCATGAAAAATCTACATGATCAAGCCTACAAGTCAATCAGGTTATACAAAAAATACTCTCACCAAGGGGGGGAAATGGGAGCCAACTAAAAGTCTTCACCGAGAAGAACTTGGCCTATATCATAACTCAATACACCTCTCTTCTAATTGTCAAGGCTA